TACTACTAGTGCTATACCTGCTAGACTTAATAAGCACTGTAACTTTATTACTTTTAATATCTTTTTGTCTAGCAATAAGCCTTACTAGCTTCTATTAGTTTAGGTATAAAAAGAACACTAAAGATAAAGGCAAAACTAAAACATTATTCTTAAACACACTATAGACCTTTAAAAAGTACTAAAGAGCAGATGCCTAACATATCTTCTAGATATACTACAACATAAGGCTAGCCTTACTCTTTAGCATTAGCGCAGTCTTTTTAGCAGGCAGAGGTAAGGCGCTCTAATATAGCACAAGTGCTAGATTATAACCTATGCAATAGGCAACCTTTTTTAGAAAAAGTTGCTATATTAATTATATAAATAGGTTATTTTAAAAATACTAGAGCAAGTGCCTATAATAATACTTAAAGTTAATTAGGTTCTGCTACTTAAGCTTAATGCTAGCTTATTAGTTTAGCTATTTATTTATTTAATTAGAGGGTCTGCCTTTATGTCTATTATACTAAAATATAACTACATAATTCTATAAATTAGCTAAAGTGCTCTTAACCCTCTCTTCTACAGCCTTTAATTTAGGTTTATTATGTAGGGGTGTAGACCTAGGTGGAGGTGTTACAGCAGGAGTAACAGGCGTCTAACTACTACTAGCAGATGCCTAATCTAGCAACATTATAGTTATTATCTACTTTAATGTAAAAAGCTTTATTTTATAATAATCTTTTGCCTTTATAGGTTGCCTTTTCTTTATCTTTTACTTTACTTAGCTGCTAGCCTGTCTATTACTTGCATCTAGATTAGTGCTAAGACAGTTAAACACATAAAAAAGAATAAATAATATAGTAACTGCAGTTTTACTATAACTACACATGCTATAACTAAACTACTGCATTAGATTATTTATATTCTAGGTAATTAAGATGTCTTATTAGTATACCTGCTTAATTTTAGAGATATCTATACTTATCCTAAGCGCAGTTGTACAGACAACAATCTAGATAGAGGCATTAGCGCCTTTAAAATTTTAATATATCTTCTGCTAGTCTACGTCTGCAACCTAACTAGTATACGCCTAGACTACCTTTTTAGCATCTGCTATAGAGTAGTGTCCATCTAACACAAGATAAGATTAGAGGAGCCCTATAAAGTTAGTAATATAGGTGCAACTGTTAATAAACACACATGTCTTTAGAATAAGCTTTAAGTTACTAGGAGAACTAGTAGTACTAAACTTATAATTAATAATATGTAAAAGCTAAGTATACATGCTCTTACTATAATTATTAATTAGAATAATAGCATACGCAATCTTAGGGCAATCTACGCATGTCCTAATTACCTCTAGGCTGCCTATTAGATTATTACCTATCCCTAGACCCTCTGGCCTAAAGCTACTAAAACAGCGTACTACCTCTTCTGTCTGCTTGTTAAATGTAGCAGTACAAGTAAAGAATATTGCGTTAGAAAATAAACACTACTAGAGCTTATAAAACTATAAATACTCTTTTTAGAAATCTTTTTACTATTATATAACATAGCACTTGTCTAATGCTACTAACCTAACCTAAGCATAGAATATAGTGTTAGTAAATAGCTATTAGAATGCTAGTAATGCAGCCTACTCTAGACTTAGTAAAATATAAGTGTATAAAAGCTACTAAATCTCTTAGAATATTTTTAAGTTAGCATCTTTTATTTATTTAGTAACTAGACACAGACGCGCTTTAGAATACTAGTAGATTACTTTAAACTACTTATTTTTTAGCTTTAATAGTAGTATAATCTAGAGCGTAATGCTGCTTATAAACATAGAATACACATGCAAAATAATGCTCTTTCTAAAGCTAGTGTAGGCTACAAGGATTGTATCCTTAAGGCTATACACAAGCTAATAGATAGCGCGCACCTGCTGCTTATGTAGCTCCCTACTGCCTAACAACTTCTGCATAGCCTAAGTAAGTAATAGCGTTTAATACTAGACATTACACTTTATAAAACACTTATATACTAAATTTTATAAAGTATTAGCACTTAGAGTATAACAGGCTTTAACATAAAAAAGCATTACACTAGCTAGTCTGTATACTTAATTTAGCGCTGCATAGTTCTTATCTAGCACTAAATAAGTAGTCTTTTCTAAGTAGACAGCTAGAAGACTTAGCGCAAGCTATACTTATGCTAGCCTCCTACCTAAACCCTAATTCCCTGCGCGCTGACCTAGCCCTCTAGTCTGCATAGTAGCTACTACAGCAAATAATTAGCAGTACGCATTAAAAAGTGCATAAATAAACACATAGATAATATGTAGAAAGATACTTATAATATTTAGTATCTAAACTGCTTACTGCGCAAGCGTTAGTACTATTTTGCCTACCGCAATAGAACTATACGCACAGGACAAAATTAGCAGATCTAGAAGCTAGAGGTAGTTTATAATAGTAAAGATAAATAGCGCCTAAAATGTAAGTGCCTTGCAATACATAAGCGTAGATAATAAGAGAGGGGGGGGGTTTAAAGTAACACATAAAATTAGTTATAGAAAAGGTTGCGTTACGCGCGCAGATAGATTTAAATTACTCTAGACATTATTAGATTTTATTTAAAATATGCTTATAATGTTCTTACTAGAGTTTTGCGCGTTGTATTAACTTTTAGAGTCTATGTATAATATACTTATTATACTATTAAAAATTGCGTCTTTATTCTTAAGCAGTTAAAATTAGTTGTGTACACAAAAAATTACTAAAGTCCCTTAGACAGCTAATAAGAGAAAATGTTAGTTGCAGGGGTTTAAAACTACTAACCCTAGGTTATACTCTGTTAGGAGTAGCAGTATGCATGGTGGTATGTGCGTTGTCGGTTCTCTCATCAGCCGGCTGAGCTAGCTGAGATAAAACCCTCATTTCACAATGAACCCGGACCCACCTCGCCGCTTGAGGACAAACTGCATGGAACCTCCACTTGTGTGGCCAAAAACCCTGTGTCGCGCAATAGAATTGAGATACTTTAACCTCGAACCAACCCTCAGCCTACGACAACATTTATTTCGTATAAAAATTAATTTTAAGCTATTGATAAATACAACGATAGCTGGATAAAAGGCTTCTAGAGAACATACTTCTTTCGCGAGTGTTAGTGAGTGAAATCTATAATCAACTCTCTATACTAGGTTGTTCGTCGCGATTCTAAGATATGTAACCGTTAAGCTGCAGGCGGTGCTAGAGGAGAGAACGTAGAGACCGTGCGGGCTCGGCTGCTAGTCATATGAATTGTAATGAGGTAGGCGCCCCGCCTGCCAAGCCGATACTATACGACTTTCCCCACTGTACCAAAAGGTACGCACGAGAATACTTAAGCTAAGTATTCTCGCATAGTATAATATATATATAGGTAATGCTAGGGTAAGCACTAGCACTAGCGGTTGTCTCTAGCCTAGCCTAAACCTCTATGAGCGAGAGAAGGCCACGTGGTTGACCGTGCCGACCTCGTTACATGAATGAGCTTTGTACTGCCACCAGCCTGCTACCAGCAGCTTGTAGCGATCTCTCTATACTGAGCCATATTATCTTGACCTGCTTCTACCTAATAATCGCTTAGAATTGTATGCAATCTCGATATAGTTTAGTGCAACTATATATCTAGTTGCATCACTACGCTTTATAAAACAGTAGATAATTTAGTTATACTACTAGGAGTAGGAAATAGCCATGGATAATAATTGTATAGCTGGAATTTACTACTGCTTTCAATATTATTACTACTACTACTAAGTTATTGCTGTTGGTGTTGCTATTAACGTTGTAACTACTAGTTCTAACTTTAATCATTTAAACAACGCTACTAAAAAATAACAGAAACAGCCTAAACCGTGGTTTTCTAGATCTAGATGGCAACATTCTTTAGCTACAACGATGACTAGCCGACTTCCTGCTTGGTGGTGTAACGGGGCGCAGTTACAGTTTCTAAGCGCACAAGGTTGCAATAGTTATCAGTTAATTCGGATTAAACTTGGTCAAAAACCTTACTAAAACATTGAATCTCAATTTCGCACTAACCTTAAATTATCATACCTGTGGTTAACTACTACTAATTAAGATGGATCTAGAGCCACTTGAAAGCGCTTAGCTGCTCCACAAAATCTACTAAACCTACCTGCTCGTATTCAGGAGCTTCTGCTGCCTGCCATAGCCATATGTGGTCTACCCTGGTGCCTGTCACTCCTTGCATATATAGACCCTTAGGTACCCTCCTTTAGCAATCAATACAGTTCCTCATGCCTCGGGTGCTCCCAAAATGTGACGCTATTGAAAAGATTATCCCCTCAGGTATAGTCTTAAGGTTAATTAGAATAATGTATTCTGTTGTAATATATTAAGGCTTGCTTTGTTTCGAATGTTTTATCGCGTTTTCCTGTGTTGAGACTCGAACAGAAGAAATCAGATGGTGTTCATCTCTGCGTAGCCATTTTCGAAAGGAATAGAATGATCGACGGAGAGAATTTGGGTCCTTGCAGCGCGGCCGAAAGCGGGAGAGCAATTTAAAACTATTTCAATTTACAAAGCGCTTAACCAAGACGCTTATTGAATTAAGACAGTTTTTCCCCAGACGTTGAAAGATACCTTGCGCGGGCGACAAATGGCCGAAAATTACAGAGCGTGGTTTATAGGTTAGTGTTGCACGTGACTATGTTGCACGTGACTCCCCGTTAAGGATGAATGTGGTTGGTACGCAAGTAACCTATTTACAGTCACCTCAGAGTGCCCCCGAGCTCCTTGGAGCTTAGAACTTCTCTCACTCGACTTAGTTCGGCCCTTACCACCTAATTAGCTACTCCCATTCATATATGCCCTCTAGTATCATCAATCATCTATTACTTCTGACTGAGCGATAATTCTTTCAGCACGCTGGGTTTTTACGTGACGTAGGGGGGAGGGTACAATTATTTCCTTGCTTGTCCCTACCGGTGCACATCTTAATGAAATTGACATGATAAGCAGTCTCTACGAATCAGATACCCTCCATACGAGCCTTTCCCCGCTCGCCTCCTTTCTCCGCAGCATATTCATCGCCTTTTGAGCCCGCTCCAACAGTGTAGCACCCTCAATGATCTTCTGGTTATTCGGTTCGACAATATGCTCTTTCAGCATCGTATACATGATGTCCGGCTGGAGGTGGTACTTGAAAAACTCGTTCTGACGACAGTTAGCGATTGCTCAATCCGCTATGCGACTGCCTTGTGCCGCTCCTTTGACAGGATTATAGCACAAAATTGGTGTGCTTACATTCAGATAGAAATGCGTCCTCACGCCCCTAACAGTGACGCCCTCATCCCATTCCGCCGCCTTGCTCACATCCATCTCATACTCCGGATCCACACCCTCCCCAGAATCTCTCACAATGACGGGCAGCAAGATTGCCACTGTTGCACCTTTCTTAGCCATTTTGGCAATGGGCTTAACGCTCCCTTCCTGACTACCAATGCAATCCAGAATGAGTGACAATCCCGTCTTCTCGCTAGTCTCTCCTCCCACATTTACCGTGTTGAGGATCGAGGACGTAATATCTGGTGACTTATAGTCAAAGAGATATTTAGCACCGAATGACTGGAGTTTGGAATGATGTTTCTTCGACGCTGTGGTTATGATATTCTCATATCCGTAGTATCGGAGGATCTGAATCGCAAATTGACCAACCGACGACGAACCGCCCCATACCAGAATCCAGCCTTGCGCATCCTTTGGAACATAACCTTCTGGCTTAGGCCAAGGAGTCTCAATGCCCAAATCAATGGTTAGAGTATGAAACACGGTTACGAAATTATTCGGCAGGGTAACAGCCTCCGCCATCGTGAAGCCTTCTGGCAACTATCCACTCATCAGCCCGTGCCCTGAAACCTCTGATCTCCTTTCCTCAAATTTAGAAAGGCATAAAAACTCACAAGCGCAAACAGCCACTCTGGCGCGGTACAAAACTCCTGATGTGCCTTCTCCTGCTGCTCTCTCCACGTGAACCCAAATACTTTATCTCCTTTCTTCAATCTTTTCACATCTGGACCCGTTTCTACAACGGTTCCAGCTGTGCCATCGCCGAGCACTTGCGGATACTTGACGAGGAGTCCGCCGTCGTTTTGGTGCAGGTCGAGAGGGGTTGAGGCGGTCCATTGGACACGGACACGGACTTCGTCGGCTTGGGGTGTGATGGTCGGAACTTGGATTATGCCGAGTGGTCCTTTGAGTGCGATTGTTGCAACAGCTGTGTGAGTTGCCATTTTCGTTGGTGAGTAAGTAAAGTGTAAGGTTGTAATCTAGGGCGGTTCTGTTCAGATCACGTGTAATGCTTCGTTTTAGAGTCGACAAAAGTAGGAAAAGGATCTTGCTTCACTTTTCCCATCATACTCCTCTCCTTCTCTTATAATCCTCGGGATTTCTTCCTTACATCTTCTGATTACAAATGCCCTTTTACAAACTGAATTCCGGCGAGGATCGTGAGAAGCAGAAATTTGACGCTAGCGAAGTTTTCCTTTTTAGGTCTTAGTGTGCACGTATAATTCATTCAATGCAGCCAATCATGTCTCCATCATGTTCTTATTGCAACCAATAGCCTGCGCCTATGAGTCTTTATGCTGCACCGTTAAATTCCGGCCTTTCCCTACTGGCTGGCATCATACGGTAGTCTGTCCACAATTTCAAAATCCTTATGCTTACGATACCTCACATAGGACGAGTGTTCTCGTGGAGCTCCTTGGGATGGTGTCTGTGAAAGAAGCCGAAACCGAATTAACCAACAACGCCTGGGGCGAAACTTCGTCTTCGTCACAGTGCCATCTTGACCTCGCTTCAGCCTCTCAGGTAAGTAGGTCTTCCACCTTGTATATTTCTAACAATTCAACTTAACCAACAAAGTATATCCTAGCTCCCGAGATATGTGGATACACTACATATCATCACTACTCATCTGGATACTATTAGAACCATGCAAACAGACACTATTCTAACTTCGAAATCCCAAATATACCTCCAAACCAAGCCTCACAATCTTCCCATTAAATCTCCCCAATTACCATCTCCGGCTCCTGGACTCCCTAATCTAGTAATCAAATAGCCGCAGAGAAGAATCGATCCGGCTTCCCTCTGATCGAGGGCAGTTGACGCACGGTCAGGGGAGAATCCTAGCTCCATCAGTCGAGCGACAGCATTACCAGGAGCCTCTTTGAATGGTCCTCCGTCCGTCCCTCAATTAGAGAATGCCGACTGGGTAGTGTATTTTGAAGAGCCCAGAGAGCTGGTCTGGCTGGCTGGGGATGATTTACTCGTGCTCTCCGTCACAGCTGTGTGATAAGAGATTTTAAAGCAATAGGTCATCTGCTTCTACTCGACATCAACAGTTTCCATATTAACACATAGCGCGTTGTGTTATATGAGGAGCTCGAAGCATTGGTCTGGCTATCTGGGATTGGTTGGCCGTACGCTAGTTCCTTTCGAGGATTGAGATAATGCTCTCAGGAATGCTAAACTCGTACCCAAAGCGCTAGACGCACGCTCACTGACGACGTTCTTTTTCGAATCATCGCCATCGTACATAGACAGTCAATTCACGGCACTCTAGACCTCAGTAACTAAGTCTGGGGCTCTAGCGCAAGGACGACACCTCTAAGGTTAAAGCCTACATCTAGAATTTCCTAGGGGTGTCATTTCGCTCAACCTCAATCCTCATCGCGGAATGCCTCGCAGCACTGGGAAGCAGCACCACACAAACAATAAACCGACTAGTTTATACTTGCAATTCGCTCGATAAATCGCAAATTACTTGATGAATGCCAGATAGACTAAAATCATAGAAAGGCTAACAACCACTATCGCCCAAAAATATCATTTTCTCAAATACCAAAAAGGCTTAAAGAACTTTAATCTAGCAAGACGACAAGCGGAGGAAAAGAGCTCCAACAGCAGCACCAGAGACACACAAATACTCCAAAATCCAGGTTAAAGGTGGTTGAAGACCTCTGCGGTTGTCTATCAGCGCCTTCTTCTTTCTCTCCTTTCTCTATAGCCGCATACATAGCCCTTCTCTTCACCAAGCCGTTATATCCCCATGCAACGGGGTTGCTCCCATAAGCCTATTCTTCCCACTCGGTGTCGATGAAGCATGATCCGTGGCTAGCACCCCTATGCCCATTCGCGATGTCCCCAATAGTTTCTAACTGTCCAGCGAAAACTATCATATTTTGCACATATTGTTCGCGATTGATTGACTCATGGATGGAGTCCAGGAGCTCTCGGTTTTTGTTTCCAAGGGAGTTGAGACAGTCCAGGAGCGTGTGGTGGGTTTTCCAGACTCCATGGGAGAGATTTGTAAGGTGGAGGTGGTCAATTGAGTGGGGAGGATAGGACTTGGAGAAGCTGTGGCTGTCAGCGTGGCTGTCAGCATGGTTGGGGTTTCAGATGGAGGCTGAGTCTGCGAAATGAGGGATGGGTGCAGGCTGGCAGGACGCCATAACTGATGCTATACGGTGAGATCGCTGGCGCGCAACTCTTCAATCTCTAGGTCTGGAGAGGTGGCGTTGTTGCTCATTTTGTACTGTTATTGGCTAACATATTAGTGGCGTGGGGGTGTTTCTTCCAAGATCAGGCATCGAATTTCGTTGCAACTGAGCCATGTTGGGCGCGGGTTTGCGTCTCTCTGGCCTCTAGTACCGTCTACACTCTCTAAGCCTGCCTCCAATTTTCCATTCTAGATATAACCTTTCCGAATCTCCAATTGTCTAGTTGGCAAATCTAGGCATTGAACTCATCTTTTAACTCCACAAATGCGTGTCTCTCCACAGCTGTGCGCTTGAGTTCAAGCCCAGGAGCGGTCAAAGATAATCAAATATGCTCCATCTGGACGGAAGTCCAGGGCAATAGGTCCACGTGAATGAAATTTTCCACAGTCATGGTGCTGTCTTTCCGGAGTTTTTTCCTTGGCTGGGGCGCATGATGAGGAGCGAAGGATGGAGGTTATCGGTGGGGATGAATGAGGGGGAGTAAGAATTAGGGAAGGTGGGATAAAATGACATAGAAGACTTGACTTCAGGGATAGAAGGTGAATTTAAATTCTACAAAATATGGAATACCAAGTACACGAGAAGGATAAGTTCAAGATCCGTGCCAATATCTTGACATTAACCAAAAGAACAAGACGATCCAAAAAAAAGCAGCCATACCCAACAACTTCTCTACCCTTTCCATTAACCCCACCACGCCCTTTTCATTAGCCTCACCCCACCCTCCCCTTGACCCACTGCACAAAACACCGATCCCCATCCGCCTAATCGACCCACCTATAGCCTCAATTCCATATTGCATCAGCGCCTTAGCCTCTCTATCGCGGTTCATTCTTTCCCATTACGAAATTCATTCCTCATCTAGGGCGGCGCAGTAGGCTGCCTAGTCGCCGGCTGAGTGACAACGTTCGAACAACCCGTTTTGTTGAAATCCCCAAGATTCGCGGTGTAAGCACGGAATGATGCGCTCTTCTGCCGTAAGATAAGGATGTCGCGGAGGATATCCACCATCTTCTTTTTTTCCCTCTCACGCTACTTCTGGAGAGTTTGCTGCGTTCTCTTACGTGCGGATGACTTACTTTCAACAACGTGATAATGCTCTTCGCCCAGAATTGAGACGATCAAAGCGTATGCGAATATTGGGCTGTCCAGGCTGCTGCTCTCGTAGTACGCGTGAACGGGATTAGAGGTATTGCTAAACAGTGCCATTAACTAGCCTCGAGCGCAGCGTGCGTACTATTAATTAAATGGGATACCATAGGCAGCATTCCCGAAGTTTGGTGGTGACATCAAATCAACACGCGTTGGTGTTAATAGAGTGAACGTTCAGCTTCCTTCGACGTGCAACCTCACCCGCCGATTGTTCCGACATAGAATTCGTCGAATTGCATTGGGAATGGAGCGATGTGTTATCGGGCGGATTCGACTTAGAATTCATTGCAGGAGAGATAGATGGAGAGTGTATCGGTGATGCGAATGTGTATCCTGATCGATCTGTGGGAGATACGGCCCGCGTCCCTACCCCCAGAGCATTAGTAGGGATCCCTCTACGCCAATCGATAACCTTCTCCACTATGGAAGGGCACCGTTTTCGAGGCTTAATTGCATCTTGGAGATCTTCAGAACAGCGGCCTCCCGTCGATGGCGTGAAACTGATCCCCCCCCCTTGTTCTCGCTCGGGTTCAGTTCGGGTTGGCATTGTGATATACTCCCATTCGTGATCAGAAAAATCAGCCCCAGAGACAGACCTCGTTAATGAAACCCAATTCGTCTGATTATGTATTGGGTTGAACCGCGCTCGAATCTCATCTGCTGCTTGGTCTGGGGAGAGGACATATCTTGGGAGATTACCTAGGGCGGGAAATACGCTATCGTTCGCGAGAATCCACTCATCTCTTGCCATCTTCAGCCACTTTTGAACATCCTTACCTTCGTCTCGAGGCCTCAGATCACACTTCTCCTCGACATCGAGGACATTAAGCTGAATAGCCCGTTCGAAAGCATCGATTGCAGCTTCCCAGTCACCTCGTCCAAACTCCCCTCGCCCAAGCCAGTACCAACATCTAGCTTGGAGCTGACAATGACTGAGGTTTTGGGCTAGTGGTAAAGCTACATATTTTGCAACGCAGCAAGCTTTAGGGAAGTCTGGCTCCATCCAACTGGCTGTTCTTGATGTAAATGACACCTTTTCTTGAGCCTTCATGTTGATGATGACTGAGCATCGCGTCAGCGCGGCACGAACGCTCATATACCGCAAGCGAACGTCGATAGCAGTTCGCTCCTCGAAGAAACGTGGTACATTATGGCGCGGGTAAGATGGGGAGAAAAGCACGTTAGTGCGAGTTGACCAAGCAGAAGGCGATTGGGAGGAGGATACCGCAATTGCAAGCACTGAAGATGTAGTTGTATTAGTAGGTGAGAGTACGAAGCCATCGTCTTGAACTCCTCGGAAGTACGGCAGAACTGCGTAGGCGAAAGCGGAAACATGGGGAGGGCAAACGCCATTGACACTTTCTGTGTGAGCTGGAGATAAACATTGAGTGACAAAGGGTGGGGGCGGTGCATGAGATCTTCCCGACCCCTGGACTGTGGGTGATTCTGGTATCGTTGCATTCTGTGGGTTCGACGAATGCACTGAACCCTTGTCTCGAGACTTTGTTAGCTCACTCACATTTAATGCGAGGACGGTGGATGACGGAGACGAAGGTATGGCGTCTGAAAAAGAGCGGCTGTCCACGACCTGAGTCTCTTCAAATCCGGGAGGTGTTTCGAGATATGGAGTTCGTATCGACGTAGGCGCTATTGGAGGTGGATGTGCAGGAGAACTTTTAGAGCTAATCTCATTGGTCCCACAACTAACGTCGGATTCAGAAGATATCCCAGGCTGCTCATGCTTAATCTCATAATCCGCAAACTCATTGGAATGATGTGCAACCTGAAGGCGAGAACCTAGGTGAGGTTCGTTGGAGGCCTCGCTTTTTACCATTTCTTCCAGTAATCTTCTTGAAAGCTCACTGCCCCCTGAAACAAAATTGTGACCGTTATCATGAAGTCTAATCGTTCGGGTTCTAGGTGGCCCACAGAGATGGTCCCCCGATTTGGCTCCTCGTTCGGCTTCGTATTCTTTTGTTGAGCTGATGTTATCGATACCTGGTAACTATAGGATGCGCGTTGGGAGGTGGCCGATCCAATTCCTTCGAAGCTAACGGTTGACCAACGCCTCCACGATATTTACACGGTAGAGACAGCGCTTGAGAGGAGTTCAGAGATTAGAGTCGGAAATTAAGCATGTCCTGTTGCCAGGTCCGCTTCTGGCTGAACGACTAAGGATGCTGGCTTGGAATACCAGGAAACGGGTCTACGCTCACTCTTGTGGACGGTCCCGGTGGAGTTATTTCTTAGGAGTTTTGGGGTGGGGTTTCTGAACGAGTCTTGGGGCAGGCTGTTAGCGGACGTACGTGTATTAGTGCAATGATTGATATCAGTGAAATAACATGTGGAAGACAATAGCTGAAGCTTCATCCATCGTTAGGTGGTAAAAATTTACCACATCCATTAGAAGAAGTGTTTTCTTTTTCTGGGTGAGAAGGACTCGGGTCTTTGTTCGACCTTACGGATGACGTGCGGTCGAGAATAATTTTAGAAAGGAGACAAAGGATGATCTTTATGCAGGAAACTGCGCAAGAACAAAGCATACGAACACAAAAGACGGCCAGGACTTGTTTCTCCCGCAAATAAAGAGAAAAAATCGATTTACCAAGATGTTCATATCGTACTGCAAAGAGCCAAGCTGTGCGCGTGATTTTGCGCTGAACTTGTGTGTCTCCTTGAACAGCCTCTCCTCGAAGAGTAGCCATTTGCTGGGAACTTCGAAAAAAACCTGGGCGTTTTGTCTACAAGAGACACTTCCACAAGCCACTTTCTTGTTAATGGAGGCGAAGTGCAATATCCACCCTAACCCTCCTCTAACCCTCACCCTGTCCTTGTCGTCACCCAACGAGAAGGAAGAGGAAGGCGGAACGACTTAGACACTGGAAAGAGACTGATTTGTGTAGTTGGTCGCCTCCGCCTAGTCTGTAGAGGCTGTGTTAGAGATTAAGCTCTTGCGGTCATGTTCAACTCACAACACGTTCCTGTTCCTTGAATCTTGAAACGTAGCCTTCGGTATATGTCCGCTGCTCATCAAAGGCAGACCGGCGCTTTATAATGCTAAAGGCGTCCAATTCATCTCTGCATAGACTCATGTATGTGGCCACTCGACCCTGGGAAATATCGGTTGGCCCGACGGCCTCGAAGGCATTTAAGGCTTGTTGGAACATCTTCAGTCGAAAGTAACAAACTCCTTGGTGAAAGCGAATTTTTGGTAGAAAGGACTCTAGTGCAGAGTGCCGATCACACAACTCCAATGCCTCACTACACTGGGCAAGCGCATCGCAAAGCCAATCAGAGCCAGAAGAAAGCAATATTGCACTCTTGAGCAGGAGCGTTTCAGCTCGTGCCTCGAATGTGAGCGTTCCACGCAAGAGGACATCGACCTCGGCCAGAGCGGTGGGTATATCACCTTGGATGAGCAACTGATTCACGTGATGAGAAGGCGTTCGGACCAAGGAAGTTGGCAGCCAGTCATTGTGAATCCAGTTGGTGTCCAGAGTAGAGGTGGAGTCACGCTGGGGACGGACTTGTATATCGGCGATCCCGTAGCCATGGAATTCCTCACTTTTGCGGTCGCAATGTAGGCTAGCCTCGGCCAGCCGTCGAATGTTTAGCATTCGCTCGTTTTCTAGTTCGGCTTGCGTCGCAAAACAGATGTCTTGGAATTCCCGCAACTGGTCACTTAGAATCTCAAAGGCGCGTTTGTATTCGTGTGCCGCCGTCTTCCACATGTCCCGCTCTTGTTTGAGCTCCAGAATGGGTTGCCCAATTGACTCGATAAGTGCCTCCATCCACTCCCCGTCTCGGAAAAAGTCAAAGTGCTGAGGTGACGGCATTGTAGAAATGACAGTGGTGGGAGATGGGGGACAGGCGCGGGCAGGTGGCGCAAAGCGCTTGTCCGCCGGGGGTTGAGATGAATTTTGGATGCTTTGCTAACAGGATGGTGAGCGGTGCGAGACATTTTTTTTTTTTTGTGGCCTCTGTGGGTACGGGCGAGAACAGGAGAAGGTGCTATTGGAAAGTTGGAAGGAGCGGCCTTGTTTAACTTCGACGTGACTCCATCTTTTGCGAAGGTCAGGCTACCAAATTAGATCGGGGAGTTCAAGGGGTCGTGTCGAGTCCACGATTTTCAGATGTTGAAGCCGCCATGCTTTGCTGCCTCGACAAAACGCCACAGCCCAGCTTCTTCAGCTGCTTTCCTGACGGATGCAACTTCATCAAGGTCCACAGGTCGATTGATGTCCTCATACCTCACATTCGTTTTCGCCTCCGTGACAAGTATTCCCCCTGGCCCGACCACGTGGTCACGCGTCGCACCACCTCGTCGCAGCTTCCCAACATGGGCGCGTGGAAAGTACTGCTCCATGATATGCACCATAAGATCCGTAGACACACTCTCTGCCAGCCAGCGGACAATCTCCCTGCCCTCGTCTTCCTTGCCAGGCATCACGAGATGTCTAACCAGCACACCCTTCTTGGCAATTCCATCGGCGGTGAAGCAGAGATCGCCGACTTGGGCGTGCATAGCCTTGATGCTCTCCATGGCGGTTGCCGTGTAATTGTGGGCCTTCAGCAGCCTCCTGCTTGTTCCATTGCTCCAGACCTTGAAGTCGGGCAGGTATATATCAACTAGCCCGTCCAACAGCTTTATGCTTTCTAGAGAATCAAACGATGAGGTGTTGTATATGATTGGTAGCCGGAGGCCCAGTTCGCGGGCGTGCAGGATGGAGAGAACGACTTGCGGGACGACGTGTTCTGGTGTGACGAGATTGATGTTATGCACGCGGCCTACCTCCTGCAGTTTCATGTACCATTCAGCAAGCTCTTCGGGGGTGAGGTCAAAGCCGTTGCGCTGATGGGCGATGTCGTGGTTCTGACAAAAGACGCAACGGAGGTTGCAGCCGGAGAAGAAGACGCTGCCAGAGCCATTATGCCCCTGGAAACACGGTTCTGTAGTCAAATACGTCAGCATTCAGCTCGCACGTGCAATCCTCATGATGCGACGCTGGATGATCGTACCTTCCCCAAAGTGCGGTGCAATCGTGCTCACCTTCACCGTCTCGGCACCAATTAGACATACACCTGTCTGCTTGTATCTGTTCACACCGCAGAGCCTTGGGCAAAGATTACACTCTCGTAGGTGAGAATAGGCCTCAGAACGCTTCTTTGCGGCATCGATGGACGAGATCAGGTGGTATCGCGGAATGTAGTCGTCCAGCAACCAGGGAGGGGCCAGATGAAGGATGCGCCGGGCAGGATGAAGCGATGGCTTAGTCCGAGGCAATATCCGTTTGAGACATCTTAGGGCGGGTGGTAGCTGTGGTGGTATGTGAGGCATTATGCAGGCTTCATTAAATGCATTGCCAGACAACGGATAACGCTGTGGTATTAACTGGTGGCGGCACCGGGCATAGGATCTGCTCGCCAAACGCGCCAACTCTGAGCTTGTTGCTTGGCTCTGCGCGCAGCTCCATCATAATTCTCACCTCAACGTGACATTTTAGTAAGTTGTAAATTCAATTGCAGCGTATTAGTTTTTCCTCTTGGCGTTAACCTAATTTTCTTTTTAAGGTAGTAGCTACAGATTACAAATAGGCCTTTTAAAAGTTTTTACCTACGTAAAAAACGTATTGTTTAAACTAATTACTTAAAACAACTCAGCTACCTGGTTAGAGAAAGATAAGTATAGACAACCTCTACCCTTTCTAACCTTCCCTTTTCTCCCTAACTATAGTTACTGCAACTAGCATAGAATTAGTTCTACTATTAAGTAATGTACTAACTTAACAGCTAGCTTGTTAACAACACTACCTCTAGCTTAACCTAAGCTACCTAAGTGTTATAGTTTAAACCTAGTTTTTTTTTTATAAAAATATAGTCTTCTTTATTTAATTTAACATGGTTATTAGGCATTTTTTAGTTGCTCTAAGCTACTATATTAACAAGCAGTAACTATTGTAATATTAGTAGCATGTATGTGAGAGGTATCGAGCAGGAAACACAGGTCACAGAGAGGGAATGCAGGATAGGGGGGTAACGAGAGTAAACCTTAGGGTCGGAGGCAGAGGTACGGAGGCCGAGGAGCCTATGTACCCCGTGCCAAGCCTAGGGTACTCAGGGGTTGGATAGCTGTAACATAACCGTGACAATGTAGCTCTCTCGGATTTATTATAGCGTGTGTTATAAGATTAATAAAGCAGGTATTGTTTTCTGCTCTGTTACATTAACTACTAGTGATGTTTTTGCTTTAGTGAATAGTAAGAATAGAGATATTCCCACTTCTTTTACTTAACTTATCTACTTTTCCCTTGCTAGCCCAAGGGACCGGCTAGCTAAGCAAGGCTGCCTGTCCTCGCTGTTGGGGTCCTCGCTGTTTGTCTGCCTAAGCCCCTCCATCGTTGCAAAGACTTGTTATGACCTACCGCAACCTCCTGCACAGTTTTCTAACCTAGATCCTGCCACTACCAGTCTACTTACTCTAATGACAGCTTCTAGGACGAAGATTTTTTCGCTGCTGTTATAGATCCCTCTAGACTAGTAATATTTTTGCTGTAAAAGTGATATTCCCGAAATCTAGGGCGTCTCTTGACTAATCTCCGTCGCTAGCCCTAGGTGCGAGCATCTTAATAAGTTTTAATTAACACAACTTGCTATCCTCTATATATATTATTCTCTCTATTTCATAGAGAGCTGGAGGCCGACATAAATACATAGCCTGCCAAATTGCCACAGCGAAGCTTCGAACATGCTCTGGATCCAGTGGTGGTGAGAGGGTTACTTCTAGAGACTATGTACGCCTTGAAGATTGGCCAAGTCAGCATCGTTAAACGATGAAGTCCTCCGACCTGTTCTGGCCATGATCTTGTGCGAGAGAATTTGCTTTTATTATAGCATGGATGAAGGAAGGTGCTGAGATGTGGCCACTCGTGGCAGGTGGGCTCCCGGAGGTCCACGCACATCCTTCAGCCACGACCAGATCAGATGGATCTGGAACCGGGCTGCGGGCGACCAAAATAAGGCCTACCTTGAGCCATTCGCGACTAAGACATGTTTCTTGGGTGGCATGGAGTGAGCCCACTCACGCCCAGGGCCGCCTTGCGATTCTGACTTTGCCTTTGCAAATACTACGTTCCCAGAAAATCATGGAGGGAAAACACGCATTCCAACGGCAAGGCGTAAAATATGATTTAAGAACATGTTAAATATCGGGAATATACATCAGCCATCCACACCGAGAGGGCTACCTCACTGCCACTGCCACCCTCCACCCTAATCTTACCGATATCTATCTAGAACTAGGCCATATCCATCCCCAACTTTGGCTGACTTCTTTGAGAGCCCGGTCTCGAAGACGAACGGCGGGGCGTGCCTCGCAGCTGCACAATTCTCTCTGCATCCTTGTCCCGCTGACCCTCCAAAAACTCCCACACCTCGGTTTGCCCTTCTAACTTGGCGACATCCGCAGCCGTATGTCCCCCTCGATTCTTGATGTGTAGACTCGCTTTCCACGACACCAGCAGCTGCACCACGTCTAGGTATCCGTAGCTCGCAGCCCATATCAATGCTGTGCGACCGTAGCCGTCTTGGCGGTCGATTTGTACGCGGCGGGTTGAGAGGAGCGCTTCCACCGTCGCGGGGGACCGGATGAAGAGTGCCCAAAGCAGCGGCGTCCAAACGTCGACATCCACATCGTCCTCACCGCCACATTCATTCTTAAGTAAAGTGCGCAAGGTGTCTGTGTGTCCGCCTTGACAAGCCCATGAGATCGCATTCCGTAGGTCATTATCTTTGGTAGCTTTGTCGATACCCGTTTTGTGCATTAGAGTACTGACCACTTCTCTTTGGCCGTTTCCCGCAGCCCACGACAGTGGAGAGCGTCCCTTTGCATCTTTGAGATTGAGGTCAACAGAGGGGTGTCGAAGTAGGACTTTCAGAGAACCCCTGGAGCCTTCTCCTGCGGCCCAGGATAGGACTGAGCGTCCAGATTTATCGACTTGGTTGATGTCGACCGATGTTTGCTTCAGCAATGATCGCACGATGCTTGTGTGGTCTCCTTGCACGGCCCAAAATAGTGGCGTCCAGTGTGTGTAATCCTGGTCGTCCGGCCTAAATGCTCCATGGTCCAACAGCGCCTCGACAATTTCCAAGTGCCCATTGCCCGCTGCAAACGACAGTGCTGATCTTCCAGATTTTCCCCTCAAAGTAATATCCGTACGCGCCTCGTTAAGGAGTATCTGGACAGCATCTAGATATCCGTACTGCGCAGATATTGTCAAGGGTATTTGCCGATCGATGCCTATGCTGTTAGGGTTTGCGCCATGTTGAAGTAATACCCTGATAGAGTCTAAAGAGCACATTCTCGCTGCCCAGAACAGTGCCCGGTCTTTTCTTGCTTCGCTGCTAAATTCCGCCTCTTCCAATGCCTCGGCAAGCAGTATGGTCAGATTAAAGAATGCAGCTACTTCAATCGTCTCGAAACTGTCTGGTAACGGATATTCCATATTATGTTTAATCCAGTAGTACTTCAGCCAGTTTGTCAGAACGCAGCTGGGGCTCGCTGTCAGTCGACGAACAGCCTCCCGGATAGGCTTTGGGGCGATTCCCTCGCATACCGAGTAGTGCTCTGCCCAATGAGTCGCAGAATAGTCAAAAAATTTGTATTGGTGGGCGAGTAGAGTGCATTGCTCCTCGTCCATATTCTGTGGGTCCTTGAAAAAGTTGTCCAGGCCGAGATGATCGTCTAGGCCGAGAGGGCCGTCTGAGCCCGTCGTTTCGAATTCCATGAACGGGAGCGAAGGGAACGAAGTGGGCGAGCTAGTCTCGAGGCTCGTCCGTTCCGGGGCAAAAATATCCGATTGGAAGTCTTGGAGGAGAAGGTATTGGATACATGACTGGGATATGTTCAGCGCGGCATCTACTAAAGGAACCGCGAGGCTCTGGACTATCTTGTCTGAAGAACGGAGTGCGAAGTCTGTCAGATATTCTTTGGCGGACTGGTGTATGAGCGAAACCTTCGAGTCTTCGTTTGAGTTATGATTCACATCCTTGATGCGGACGAAGGATCCCACAATGCTCTGCAGCGTTGAGCTAATAGAGAGCTGTAGGTCATCTACCACATCGGCTACAGACTTATGCTCTTGATCAATTGTGAATGCAGTGTTTATCTCCATCAACGTCAGGTGTCTCGAGCTTCCAATAAGAAGCCGCAATATTTTCCCAGCGTCTTCTCGATCCTCAGAGGAGATCCCCAGTAAGGATCTGCTATAGGTAGCTTCGAGGTTCTGGGGGAATGTGTTGATGATCCGTTCAAAATCTCTTTTCGACGCCTTTGGGCTTCCTTCCAGGCTATGGAGCACCATGTTCAACCAGAGAAAACTCTGATCAGACTTAGAATACAGAACTTGTTCCAGATAATTCTTCGTTTCGTCGGTGCAGTGGAATTTATGCGCAATCTCGCCGACCTTGCTTCGAATGACCAGCTTCACATCTTCACTGATATTACTTTGGTTTTGCTCAATTGGAAGTCTGTTTTTCATTAACCCCGTGAGGTTGTACGAATTGCTGAGTGACGGACGGCTGGTTATCAGGAATTTTATGTAGTTCTGGGGTTGCCGATGTATATCCCGGGGCTCGTTTACTAGCTGCATCATTGCGTTCAGGAAGCTATTGCGCGTCCGTACTTCACACTCATCAATCGCGTCCACTATGACTCCGACTGGGCCTGATGTAGAATCATCAACTATTTTCAGGAACAGTTCCCAGAGCGCCGGAAAGGAGTTTGCAAGGCTGGGGCCGTCAACCTCGAACCGAGACTTCACATGCTTGATGAGTTTTCGATGTTGCTGTAGGATCTGATACAGGATACCTCGAAGTATGGCGTTTGCGTCTCTCTGAGACTTGACCTTGTCGTCGCAGAAGAAGAAAAAGACTTGAGGCCTGACAGTGGTAGCGCGACCCAGTCTTAGGTGCTCCGTCAGATAAGCAGATAGCATTGTTTTTCCACAACCAGGTTCACCCGTGACCCAGAGTAGTCTTGTTTCTTCTGTCGTTATCCAGGTCAGATATGCAGGGTGGCTCAGAATCCAGCTGCAGGTCCCTTGCACCGGCCTTGGTAGTTCTGCTTTGTATACTGCCAAGTAGGTTGAGTTTAGCAGGACCATGCAGGATCTTTCTGCTTCGCTTAAAGCTAACCAGCTGCTTAGCTCGTGCTAAACTGTGATTCGCCTATTGCTACATACACTGGTTGGATGATGTCCTGTTCCCTTTCGTTGCCATTTCTTGGTTTAAGAGGGCAGTTCTGGCCAATCGTTTGATGGCTTTCAAGGCGTAACTGTAACCATCATCCGTTGCCCCTTCGAAACGGCACATGGTTCTATGATTTGCGTAAAGTGGTATAATATCTTCACCTGGTATTTCCATTATGGCGGAATGATGATCAACGACCTAATTTAGGGGTAGATTAGGCGCTGCTTTGCAGAGATGCGTTCTCTAGAAGTGATCTCACCAGTTCGGACAGCCCGAGTATGGTTTCCGTTTCGTAGAACGTAACCACTTCCAGGTTACTCAAACGATTTCGGAAAGAGACAGCAAGATCGCTTAGTGCTTGGGAATTAGACCCTAGGGTTGTGAGAAGGTCATCCCGTATTGACCCAGCTATGCCTGCGGTCTGTGATGCGCGTAAACAAGCATTGACGACTCTTCCCACGATTTTCCCGATATCAGCTCCTTTTGAACCGCGATGTGGAGTTCCAAAGAATACAATACCTGACGTGGCAGACAGTATGTCACCATAGAGGCGGTCATCTTCATGCGCCAAAACAAGAGCCGAGAGAGAGGTTAGGATCTCATCGATATAGTGTTGTCAAGGTCCTCACCTGCTTACACACTATGCCCCCAAGACTATGGCAGACGAATATTATCGGACGCTGCTTTCCTTCCGAGACGGCTGTGAGCGAGGCCAAGAGATTCCGGGAGTAGTCTCGTAATTTGGCTGCTGAGTTGCTCCAGAAGAGCTCAGATGGATACCCGTAAGTGAATATGCGGGACCCGGGAAGGGTACTCGGGAGCAGATCTCGAAGCCACAAAGTTCCATTCTCGTGTTGCCATGTTGTATAAGCGTCCCCGTTCAGGCCATGTATGGCCACGATATCCACTCCTATGTGGGCTTTCGAGTTGTCAGGTGGCTCGTTCTTGCCGAGAAGGAAAAGCCCATAGGGCTTTGTGCGTATGGGGGCTGGCGCCGGAGCCTGCGTCTTAACGTTAGATATGCGTTCCGGCACTGCTTGCTACCTTTGTAGAACGGTTGGAATGTTGGTTCGGACGGGCACTGACCTCGGGAGCTAGCCCTTTCCGTTTTAGTTTCCGCAGTGTCTTGCGCAACCCTAGCATTACCTTCGATTCGTACGGCCTAGTCTTTGGGCTGCGCCAAATGAAGCGATGGGAAGCAGAGTCGAACTGATGCTATCTGGAGCAGTTGGGACAAGAAGGATCGCATCTTCCTTCCCCCTAGCCGCGCATTACTGTGCAGCAGGTATCCCGCACTAGTCCCGCTGAGTGGTGGTCTGCTCGCTCTCAGGCGCCGTTCCGTGGCAGT